TACGGTACCAGTTAATTGCTTCCTACAGTAGTATCAGGGCAGCCACATCGAGAATATCAAGATATCTGGGTAGTACGTCGGCGTAGGGAAGCGCAAACATTATACTGTGAGTATTCTGGGTATCTGCAATAAGTTTTGTGGGTCGGCCGTAGAGACCAAACGTATCAAAAACCGGAAACAACCAACGAAGCATCATTTCGAAACCAGATATCGCGGGATGTAACTCAGGCAGAACAAAAATAAATCCGTCTGTAGTTGATTCAACTTTGCTGTGCATCGTTATTCGACCTTCTACCTTAACCAGCGTGGATTGGTCAATTAACGGTCGAGATTGTGGGTAAATGGCAAATGCGGAGAATGCATCCGTTACGGTAGCGATAGGGTTGACCTTTTTGGTCTTTTTGGTTTCGTAGAATTTAATGTTTCCCTTCAATGAAGGAGCGCTCCGTTCATACACTGACTTCCTCTTCTGCTCCTTTTTCAATCTTTGAAACTCCTTTTCATCAGGCGGTGAAATCACACACCAGCATCGTCTCCAAGGGGTTCCGGGACCAAACCTGACACGCGCCCAGTCTTCATACACGAATTTCGTTTTTCCTAGGATATTCTTAATACCATTCAGAGTTTTCCCCTTGCCTGCGATAAGCGCGCCAGTATAGGATTCTTGCAATATAGTATTTTCAAACATTGCTATGCGGATAGCGGCAGTCCACTGAGTCAGTGAATGTAGCGACGAGAAATGGAGGAGATATCGGTTCTTTCCAGCAGTCGATATGCTAAGAATATTTTGGAGAGGCTTGCTGCCTTCATTCCGCGTGGGCAGGGTTTCAATCTGGTCTCAACATCAGTTTTCCGCACCCTTACTTATTTTATGTATGGTTTTAATAATAATAATAATATATTGGCAAAGCAACGCACTGAAGTTTGAAGAAGCAACAAAAGGGAATATACCATTTTGATTGAAGCATCAGCCAGGTTGATGAAGCTAGGTGTCGCATTTCCCTCAGGACCAGCTGCGTCCAGCGCTTCTGAGTCCCATATCGAAAGGACAGTGCCAACTAATTGAGCAAAGCAATCCACCCATTGCCTATCTTGAAACGATCGACCATCTACACCAGGACACTAATTAGACGTCTATGACCTTGCCAACACTTCTGAAAAGAAACGGGGAATAGACGGATGGACGTACTGGTATCTAAATCGTTTAGTTTTAAAAAATAGCCCTCCTGGTAGAGCTTGTTTGCCTGACTGCTCAGATAGTTCAAAACAGGCTCTAGCTCTGGGATGGCTTCGGGTATCGCGTCCATGATGGGCAATTGCGGTTGCGGATGAGCGGAAACTGGCCTTGAACCCATCCGGTCTGATTTTCTTAATCTATGTGACGCAGAATCTGCGGCAGTAGGCGAGTGGACTGCGCCTCGGGGAAAAGGGTCGGTATTATGCCGGTGGTGCGAGAAGGTGTTGGGAGTTGGAGAAGCGGGTGAGGTGGTGGAGGCTGATGCAAAGGACGACCCATCACGCTTTGAGTTGCCTTTACTGGACGTAAGGAACGAGAAGACTACGGCATCACATGGAGATTTTAGCAATCTAGCAAGTCATGAGGTTTCTTTGCAGTGGGCGAGAACTGGGAGGGGGGACATGACATGTACAGACTGGGAATACGAAAAGCAGGATATTATGGGAATAGAGAGAGAGAGAGAATGCAAGGAAGTTTTCCATCAACACCTACCATCACGGATGCCCATATTTGCGGTCGACAAAAGTAACCTAAGTCAACCAGGGCTTGTGAGACGCCAGAGGGCAGAGAAGCTGTGCAACAGGGTGGATGAACAATTGATGTCAGTATTCCCCAGACAATATAGGGCTCCGTCTTTGGTGCAGTACGGCTTTGACGCGAGGGGAAGTTTGTCCACCGCTGCAGCGACGGCGCTACACGGAAACTGCCACCGGAATAGAGGATGTCGCGGATAGCGAGGAGGGGAAATGGGGGTTGGGGAGGGGGTGGGGGGGGAGGGGTGAGAGCGATGGTGGTGATGTCAGGCGGGTAAAAGTCACCCGTCAATTCCAATCCATCGGGCAGTGCAATATTAAAATATTACCCATCGCGAATGGCAGTAAGAGGAGGGGAGAAGACAAGGGTCGGGGGATACGAAGAGGATGAGAAAAGAGAACAGCAGAGGCAAGAGGAAGGAAGATTGGGTACGGAGTAGTGTTGGGTGGGAATTTGAGGAGAGGATCGAGAGAAGAAGTTAATCGCCAGCACTGAGTGTGGCGAGGGAGCGATGATCCTCGGATGATGTTGGCCCACAGCTAAAAATTTATTTGCGCCGCCTGATAAACCCACGACGTATGCAGAGCACAAATTAATAACAGCTTTGTCCGCAAGAGACAAGTCCTGCCCTGTGTGTTCCAGCTATATTTAACTCGAGAGAACACCACCCGCTTTGTACGGGACAGACGACTAATTATCAACACGGATACTACGCAGCACTGTGCATCACCCCCTCGTCTGCTGAAGGTGAGCATGCAGCAGAACTCCCTTTTGTTTCAAAGAGTCTCTCCTTCTCCGCCATTATTTGTCTCCAATTGTTTCGCATATGGATACCTGGCATTAATCTCACAGTTTTCCTCCTGCTAAGGCCCAATGTCTCAGTTTTAGGAGCTTGTCAAAATTTCCCCCTGTTTCTTTTGTTTCTCCGTAACCATCCATACCTTCCATTCCTACTGATAATATGCTTCTTGAAGACTTGAAGACGTTCCCGACAAGATTCTATGCCGAATCAGGAGATGTCGTCATAAACAGCACAGAACCACAGAAAAGCCCAAGGGAAAAAAAAAAAAAAAAAAAAAGGAAAACCGCTTCAGAGGTTCTAGCCAGGATCTTCGCTGGGCTCAAGCCACACCACGAATACTAAAGTGCACGCTAAGTTGATTTTGTGAAATCGGCGTGGTGAGTTCGTTATCCGTTGAGGGCACATACACATCGAATCAGCAAAAACCGAGCCTCCTCGGCCATGCGTGCCACCACCTAGAAGATCAATCGAAATAATTGGGTCGAAAGCCCGGCCTGTCATAACTGATACGACTGCCAACTGCCAACGGCCAACTGCCACTCTGACTGGCAGGTAAACTGCCGCCAAGCTACAGGGCGTCGTCTGCGCCTTAGGAAGCGCCGGCTGCCAAGGAACGCCCAGCAGTTACATCAGACACAGGACAGATCGTTGGCTCTGCCGCTTTTCTCGAAGGCTCTCGGAAAGCGGACGGAGCATATGACTTTCTCAGGCCGCTCTCTTTTGACCTGTTTTGGGTAGTTGGTGTGTCTTTTTTTTCCTCGGGTGGCGATTGGAGGAAGCTTTTGTTACGGAGGTTTATGCTTCACTGCACTTTTTCAGCTTGTTCCTTGGTTTTTCGTGCTTTTTGTTGTCGGTCCATCCATCCCAAAAAGGATGCGGAAGCCCTGGAAAGTTTATCTGTGAAGACTTGATCGCCAAGCATAAAGTTGGCAGCCAAAACTCAGTTACTAATCAGCCATGTATTACTTTCAATTTGCCCGTAAGTAAAGCTAGCGGCGGGTGAGTGCTCGGATGAGGCTTACTACGTAAAAATAAAGCAAATTAACTAGTGATTTAATTGCTAATTTTTTTTAAAAAAAAAAAAATAAAATAAAATAAATAAATAAATAAAAAAATCACCTGGAGCTGATGCGCCAAGAGTTCTTTGGCTAGTTTATATGGCCACTTAAATACCTTACAATGGACTCCTCTGAATGCTCTTGAAGAAGTGGTTTACGCAGGGCATTGATCAGACCCTTCACACCCTTACCCTTACCCTTATCCCTAACTCCCTGCTGGGGCTGTGTTTTTGGTTTTAAAAGTGGGGACCATTACCCGGATGAGCACAACCCCCACCACTGTTGAACCGTCAATTGTCTCATCTGGCTGGTAAGTGCCTGGTTCCTTTCATGATACGCGAAGTACGCCATAACTTGTCTTTAATATCCCCAGGCTACCTCATGAGCTTTTATAACAGCCAATTAGCGGACTTCCAGTCTCAGCTCCTATCAACCACTGGCATCGGGGTTATTGCAACTATGACATATTTATTGTAAACCGAAAGCATATACATGTCCTAGTCGATTTTCTCCCAGTAACTCCTTCCTCTTGTTTGCCTGCGCGGTGCTGGGCAACAGGTACGGATTGGCTGCGAGACAGACAGCCAAACCACCGCTTTCGGGGGCTTTGTCCTGCAGTACCCCCGTTGCTGGAGACCGGCCTGCGGGGGGAATTACTGTTCGTCCACTCCCCCTGGTGACTTTCTGAAAGAACGACATGACAGCAGATACATGCATGGCACTCTCTGGCCCAGGTCTTTGGGGGATTTCTTTTTTTTGTTTATGTCGAAGATATTGGATATACAGTCACTCCCTGAGACGAGGCATATGTGCAACTCTCCATGGCAGTGGCAATATTCACCTGCTACCTGGGTACATACCTACAGTACTTTGGTAAATCTTTTGAAGGCGTGGATAGGCAGACTCAGCAGCCGCAAATCAGTTTCTGTGTGGTTCACACGTTCTGTCTGTTGCCTCCTGTAATCTTTATTATCCGCCCTTCCTAGCCCAAAAAGCTGGAAATATGTGTGGAGTACCTGAATGGCACTCTTTTGAAAACACAGATTTTTCTTGGATAGTTATCAGAAAGTGAAGATAAACTTGTACAAGCTTACTTCTCTTTGCCTTGTTTTTATTTAATACCTTGCTGGATGCAACACCTCCATTTGGTATATGAGGATATCCCTTTCATACACAATATGTCTCTTTCTTCTCGGAATTGCGCAATCAATATTGAGGTCCCAGCATTGTCTTGAGAAGTGAATGCGATGTGTTCTCTGTCCATTTTTGTGGTTGAGGGCTTCAAATGACTGTCAATTCACTCACTGGTGTGATTTATAAGGGATGACTGTGCTTGTGTTTGTTTTGTTCTTCCATTTTGAACACACTCAAGTCTCCATGTTTGTGTATCTGTGGAGTCCTTTCTTGAGTGAATCACATTGTCTCTTCTATGCCACACGTCGGCACTTCTCAGTGTCATTAACTCTCATTATTTGTCAAGTCCAGAGATTTTACTCTCACTACTCAGCTCATCTGGTTTTCCTTTATCATAGTTTTCTCTTTCCATCTCATATCTAGATGTAGTGCATGCCCCTTCTTTGTTCATCAAGGGGACCAACACACTGTATTGGCTAGATATATTTTCCATTTGTCAAGTTATCAGCAGAACAAACCGCAGCAATGTCCAGTATCTTCAATGGAGCGGAAGTCCCCTTCCAGAACCCACCTCCCGGCTTATCCAGGCCCTTTCTTAGAGATATGTATTTGCTGGTTGAGCCTATTGCACCGCTTCCTGACCCTCCTTCAAGAAGCACTCTTGAATACAGCATCAAAGAACCCGCCAAACCATCCCCTTACAAGCTGTCTCCTGGCGAAGAGGATTTTGCCCTAGTCTTCAGCACTGGTGATACTCCACCCCTCTCGGAAGCTGAAACTGAGGAAGATATCAAAAAAGCCTACTTTGCACGTCTGGAGCAGGAAATCAAAAAGTTTGGACGCGACCTTAATCCCAAGGCGTGGATGGTTCATGTGCCCGCCATGACGGAGATACTCGTGAAGGGTGCTACCCCTGGCACATTCAAGCATTTCCTCATGTTGCTCCTAGAGCCAGACGAAACCTTCGCAAAAGCCCAGCATAGTGTCCAAACTTGGCTCAATGAGAGATATCCTGGTCGTGTTGTCGACGATATCCCCAAGCGTGGACCCTACGCGTTGTGGGCCACAGATAAACAACTGTTGCTGGGTGAGATTGAGCTTCTTCGTAAGCTTGTCCAGCCTTTGCGAGAAGCGGGAAAAGCTATCCATTGGCTGGAAAAGAACCCTTGCAGGAATATCTTTACGATGAAGTCGCTAAAGAAAGCTTACAAGATTATTGCGGAGTTTGAGAACGAGACTACCAGCAGGACTATCCTCAATGAAGAAGGAAAGCTATCTCTCCCTCTCAATTGATAATATTTTCACTCCCTGCGGTTGCTAATTGAGATGAGTAGAGGACTTCTCTCTCCCGAGCATCACAGGTGATTTTAGGGCGACTATGATGAGCATGAGAATGGCTAGGATGGACGTATGCAAGGAATCACTCTCCATGATGCCTCCGCCTAAAATCCCGAAATCCAATGACCCAACAACCTTCCCTGCCGCCCAACGACAGTTGCACAAATATAGGAATGACGATTCCCAGCAGATTGGCATAGAACATATCGGCGAAGCAAAGCCACCACCGCTTTCGGCATCAGTCCTCGTCGGATTTGCTTCAAGTACAGCCTTGAGGCCGCCAAATGTACAGGAACTATGGGACGATGTGATCGAAACGATGATGAATATCGCCCGGTGGCTAGCCAAGGCTCGCTGCACTGAATCAGTCGACCTCTTCTGCGACGTTGCCAGGATGTTCTCCCCCCGCGACCCTCCAGCAAATCTATCAGATGGGAATTACTCCCTTATTCGCGCCCTGTGCGATGTAATGTTCGACATCGACGACATTGGAAGCGAATCATCCTCTTCCGCAGACTTGGATTTCGATGGCGAGGACAGCCTTGACACAATCAATCGGGAATACTTCGTTGATGTCGCTGCATCGCGTCGTTCCCTGATGGCGAATCTACAGCTCCGAATGGCAGCGGATAAGCCCATTGCCCCAGCCCATATGCATGGTCACCGCCTCAGCTCACATGGGTCAATTCGTCGGGACACGAATGGGAAAAGGATGCTCAATAAACGCGCTAGGTCAGAAATGGTATTGCCCAAGTATATCGCACAGAGTTACGAGGATGCTTTTCCCGCTGACCCCAGCAACTGGGCCGCGAACAACACCTCGCCGTTTGCTGAGGCTTTCCAGGAAGAGCTAGACCGGGAGAAGGTGCGTCGTGCTTATCAGCGACTCAAAGCGATATGCGAGGAGGGCATTAAAGCTCGTTCTCGTGCGGTTCCCCCCAAGGAGAATGTGGTCGCTCAGGTCGCTCAGGTCCCGCCGGCGAAAGAAAATGTGGTTAGTCTATTTCCCATTCCAACAACTATCTGCTTCTCTCCTTTTTTTCTTTTACCTTCGTGGAGCTCGATCTAAAGAACACGGGATTTTTTAGACTCCCTTAAAACAGAAACGCCGTAGCTTAAGCGTTAATTGTACTGGAAAACAAGCTGCGGCAATGATCATGGAGGCGCTGATGAAGAGTAGAAATGAAGACCCCGTGTCTGATGTCCAAGAGAAAGAGAAACCAATTGTTATTGAGAGAGAGCCTATGGCTGATGAGCAGGTTGACAATGAGGTAAGTCATACTCCATTCAAGCTTCATTAGTTTACAGAAAGGGTTTATTCGTATATTTTCATTTTTTGTTATTATCTTCTAACTAACATATTACACCTCTGCTCCTTTTTCCTGCTAGAAACTGAATGAATGGAGCAGCTTCTAGCTCAGCCCTTCCCAACCTGGCCCACATCTTCTTCTTTCAGGTTAAGAATTGACTTTGCAATTTGAATCAAAGTTCCACATAGAACTCCCTATAGTGAACAAAGCCAGTAGGGACCGGTTTTTCCATTAATTCCTTCAAGTTATTCAAAAACTCGAAATTATTTGCGGAGGAGCAGTTGAAAGGGCAATAAAGAAGAAACGAAACGTTTCTTCAATCAGATCATGAGAGCGGAACATATATAAGCATGTGGCTTATGTATGCAGCCTCATGATTATTTATTGCTTTCAGTTCCTTGCTTGTTGCTGTCTCCTTTTCTCCTCCTTTTCATTTTCTCCACCTTTGTCGCCGTGAACTTAGGTTTTGTCCCATACTCCAAGAGTTGTCAGTTATTCCCATTCACGTTTGTGATTTCTTTAATTTTTCTTTTCTCTCTTCTTCTACTTTCTTTCTTTTTTCTATCTTCTTTGTTTCTTCATCTGGCAATCATCTCCATTGACAACAATACAAGGGTCAACCTTCCAACAGCCATGGTATAAACTTCTACCAAGGAGTTCCACCGGATAAAAGGAATTCGAACAACACTCGCCTTGGACACGGAGAAAAACCAACTGACGATGTTTTTAGTCGAATTTTGCTCACGGACAAATCGCAGCTTACTCAGGGAACCTTTGTTTTTTGATCTTTTGTTTTTTTTTTTTTTTTTTTAGTTACTCTGGCATCTAATTTTTTCCACTTCCTTGTTGATGCAATTTTGAACCGGGAATCTTTTCATTTTGTTTTTTGTTTTCGTTTTCTTTTCTGGTTTTGATGGATTTTAATAATGATTTTTAGTCTTTTACGGTTGACATTTACTTCCCGCTCTTCTACGCTCGCTGGAAGAAATGGGACGGAGGGGAAGGTTGGGCAGCAATCGGTTTTTTCATATGAAGGGGTTTAGTGGTTTGATAGTTTGCGAGGTATCTGCTCTGCTTGTACTTGCTGCTGGGTTTCTGGGTTAATTTTCATCTCTTTTCTTGGTTTCTGCCTCTTTGTGCGTCCCACTCTTCTATAATTGTACAAGGAGCAATATGGTGTGTGGTTTTATGCTTCACTGGATTTGAAAAAGCAGAATGTCACCGAGGATGTGAAGCAGGGGCTATGCAACTTTCTTTGGCGATAGTAATAGATAGCTAGATAACAAAAAAATAATTAAAAATTTTGTGTTTTTGCAATATGGCCCTCATTATTCAACCATTTGTCATTATGTATATAACACCACAAATATATATTAATAGTTTTCAGTCACATTTCTGATTCATGAAGTTTTAGATAATGAAGAAGAAAACTGCATATGACATCAACAACTATCACCACATGGTGGATGGTTGGTCATCGCTACCATCTCATCCATCCTTTGCTTGTTGCCCCTGAGTAAACGTCAAGACGGGGTCGATCAAAGCCATGTCAGTATCCCCACCATTATCAACTGAAGAAACACCAGTATCAATGGTACAATCCACAATCGCAAGTTCGTCCTGAACTAACATCTGTCCCTTGCCAACTAATGACTGTTCAACACCTGCATGCTGTGGACGGATATCATCGCCGTTCCCACCGTCAGCGGGAGCATACCTATATCCATACCCAAGCTTTGTCAGATTATCAAAGTCGAGAGCAAAGCTCTGCTCCCCACCTTGCATAGCGCGCTGCATGAACAGGATTTGAATATCGTTTTCCTCCAAACTGTGCTTCGAGGCCATGTGCAGCCACAAGTCATAGTCTCGATGGAAGCGATGCGCACACTGCTCCAGCAAACATGGGATGTGCCGGCCAGATTCTGCCTCGTAGCCTTCACCAGTCAGCATGGAGAGATTCGAAGGTGCTGCTGGGCCGCTACTCTGATTTTTAGATTTATCTTTCGACCGAGAATGGGAACTGTACCCGCTACTGTTACTGCTGGAGCCGCTAAGGCCAAGCAGTTCCCTTCGCTCTGCTTTCGCATTTTTCAAACCCAAATGCGCTGTGCGCACATGCTCTTCGAGGGCAAGCTTGCTCCCGTACCGTTTGCCGCATCCACCATCCTGCGCGATCCAGCCTTCTAGCTTTTTCGAGCGAGAGAGATCCGTCTCGCCGCAGATAAAACGCTTCTCACCCTCGTGAACAGTTTTTATGTGCACGTTCAGATTGCCTCTTTTTGTAAAGTTGCGGCCGCAGTTTGGATAGTGGCACGGGTAGATTTTGCGCTCTTCGAGCGGGACAGTGCCGTGAGTGATTTCGAGATGGCGGCGGAGATCTCGATTGGATGAGCATGTCATGTCGCATTCTGGACAGGTGGGTGGGTGGACGGATTTCATGTGTGCTTGGAGTAAAGCATAAGTTTGGAAGACGGCGTTTGGATGTGGGTTGGTAACCCCGTTCGTTGTTGTCGAGTTTTGTTCGTCAGTTGCGTTAGAGGCACATTCTGCGCAGGCGAACCGAGCACCGCCGTGAAGTCTGCCCTCATGAGAACGCAGATGTCCTGCTGTGTCGAATGCCTGTGTACATTGTTGACCAGAGACTGGATCAAGATGCGGGCAGGGAAAGGGTTTCTTATTCAGATGGGCGGTCAAGATATGTTTTTGGAGGGTCGAGTGTTTGCGGAATGTCTCGTTGCAAGGAGGATATTCTGTACACCTGTATTTATCCCTTCCTTCATGCGCAGCTAGATGTCTTCGTAGCCGCGATCCCGTAACAAATGTCTTGCCGCATCCTTCTCTATCGCAGACGTAGTCCCGGATGGTGGTATGCGCGCTCTTCACATGGTGGTTCAGATGGGAAGCTCGTAGAAAGGTCTTCTCGCAACCCTCATACGTGCAATTAAATATTCGCTCATTTGTGTGCGATCTTAGGTGTTCTGTAAGTCGTGCAGGGCGGTTGAAAGCTTTAAGGCATCCATCGTACGGGCAAAGATGAGTTTTGCGATCTGACGGGTATCTGGAGGAGGCAGGAGAGTAAGGTGTGATGGGTGTTGCCTGCTGGTCGCCATGACTTAGGCAGTAGGAAGGTTGAGATTCGGAGTCTGATAGATTGCCATTATCAAATACATCTGCGAAATTGTCAGAAAATTTAGCCATTGTACCTACTGCAATCAGGTGCTTACCAGAACTGTCTGATGAAGCCGATTGTTGTAGTCGCTTGGGCGGTCGCTGGGTTTCTGAAATGGCCTTTCGCTTCTGGGACATGATTCCATTTCCTCCAAATAGCAGCTATTAGAAAAAAAAAAAAAAGTTTGGAGGGCTTATATATCTTTGCCGCTGACTTGTGGAATATTTCCCTTGTGTGGATCAAAATTGCGATTAGGGTATAAAATCTTGGCAAAATTTAGCTGTAATGTAAGCGCTAAGCGCCATAAGCGAACTGCGCCAAAAATTTAACTTTTTCTTTGCTCCAAGACCCAAAATCAACTTCTCCAGCAGACATTACGTAGCGCGCAGAGAATTCGACTCTACCTTGCTTGAAGAGCGTGGGATATATTTTTGCCTTGCGCAATTGTTTTCTCGTTTAAGCGCAATGTCAGACTACGGCGCAGGTGATCATGAGGAACATGATGATGCTGGGTTAGTGGGCCGATGCACCTTCCTGTCCCTGGTTGGAAACCGTGCGACGCACGGCAGAGATTTATTGAGGCCCCTGGAACTTCTAGAGCGATGTAGCTAATATTTTACTTCTTACAGTTTCGACTATGAGCCTCCCGAGTACGAGTACATTGATAATGAACCTGAAGACTATGTAGAACCAGAGCAGACGGAGCATGGTGAAAACGGATATGCGATAGTGAATGGTGACGGCCAGCCTGTGCAGAATGGCGAGGGGGACGTTGTTTCGGGAGATCCGAATGCAGGCGCATCGAAGGGAAAGGTCATGCTGCAGCAACGGGAGAAAAAGGTCCCAAACGACCAGCGGACGACCACCCCCTACATGACCAAATACGAACGCGCACGAGTGTTAGGCACACGAGCGCTACAAATCAGGTTAGTTTTCATACGATATCTTTATCAGCGTGGCGGATTGTCTCCAGCGTGCTAACGCGGGTGGACAGCATGAACGCGCCGATCCTTGTTGACTTGGAGGGAGAGACGGATCCTCTTCAAATCGCTCTAAAGGAGCTTGCTCAGAAAAAGATCCCCTTGATTGTTAGGAGGTATCTCCCTGATGGATGGTAAGCTTCATTCCAATATATATACTTAGAGACTTATCTAATCATGTATCACCTCAGGTATGAGGATTGGACCTGCGAAGAGTTGCTTTAAGCCTGCAGCTTTTCTTCCTTTTTAAATATGTTAATGTGGATTCTTTTATCATTGTTATTACCGGGTCAATTTTTCGCATAGCGGGAGGTGTTTAGGTCTGCAAGTTGGGTATTTGATTTATCCCCTGGAGTTTAAACTGCTTTTTCAGCGGGGAGAAAAAATGAGGACGAAAATCCAAGGCAGGGAGCTGGATAATTGCCTTTTATAATGTGGATATAGATATTCCATAGACCATATAATGGTTTTCCTTCGTTCCAGATATTTCAGCGTCTTAAGGGGCTCGGCTCAACGATGTTATCTTCCATACTTATGGGGAAAATTACTGTAGCTAGCCCAATTCCAAATGACACAAAATGCAGGTTAACCGAAGGGCTTGTGATGCAAGAAGCCATCATTAAGAAGGGCGACCCTGACCCATTGGGGTAGTGATGGCTAGCCCCAGTCGTATCTCACATCCATCGTCTCCCTAAGAAATCACAACAGTGGCTATCATCGTATATCCTCACATGGCTCTTGCCTATTATCTGCTTCCAGAAAAGCACTGGCGCCAGAGTCTTGATATAAATATTGCCTATTTCAAGCTAATCCCGATCTGCAGGTGTTGGTCAAATCGTCTTCATTGCGCTTCGCAACAAAAACCCACATCTGGCAACCCTATTTCGTAGTGAGAACAAAGCTTACTAGTTAAATATTAGGGCAATAAAGATTAAAAATGGTGCGGAAAGCAATTCTACATGCGGGAAACAATCTTGGGGGTACTTTTGTTCTTACCACGAGCTATGTCGACATAGTACTTGGTCATTATAAGCCAGTCACCTCCTCTCTTAGTGCTTTTATACCATTACTTTTATCATGAATATGGGAATATACTAAAACAAAAGGGTTTATTTCTCCTTTAAATATATGTCCCCTCCCTGTTTGAGGGCAATATCTATTCATTTTGACAATCCATTCCTCTCGGCTGGGCTGATGATTATGGAAGGGCTTGTCAGCGACAAAATCCCAAATTGGCCCTGTCTTTCCGTCGACATATTCCTCCTCGTGCTGAGGCGTTGGGGAGAAAGAGGAGTCACATAAGAAGTTGTTGTCATTGGCAATAACCAACTTAGCTACGACTACTACTAAAAAGCATGGCCACAAGTGCTGCCATCTTTCTCTTCTTTCATAGCTGGTATATATATGATATATGGCTTTTCATATTCCCTTCCTCAGTTCCTGAGATCCTATGTTGAAGTCACGTACCTAACTGGAAACGTCCATGATACAGGGGAATTGTGATGGATTATGGCAGTTTCTAGGCTCAACATTGAGCAACACCTATTTGCAGGGCCAGTCACCATTGATAATAATATGGATCGGCTCGATGTAGGATTCTTGACGTCAGCTCTAATAGTTGGGCATACGTATTTCCCCAAATATTGTCCCTGATTAGATTGGCCTCTGAAATAGCACTGTACACATTATCACTGCCTGTGGTAGCCTGGGGATTGCGCGGATTGTGAGAAATATCGCAGCAGGGGTAATCTCTCAATATTTCTGTACGGGTTTATTGCTGGCGGGTTCGTTTCCGTGGGACCTGCTGTGTTTTGCTCAAAGTCACCACCAGTCACCACCAAATTTATGCGCAACCACGTTCTTATCCTGGTGAAAAAGACAGAATTTATGAGCATTACACCTGATATGCGAATTTCGACACTGGCTTGGGAATGTTGTTTGTTTTTGTTCACTGGTTTCGCGGATGAGTACGAACGCCTATTGGAGGCGGTATTGTCAATGGTGCTGGAAACTTGTGGGTGTGCCACTGCTGTTGAGCATCTCTTTTCTCCTCTCTGCTGAGATCATGGGAGCGGCTCGTTCCTGGTCAGGTGGCATATCCAGGACGGATTAGGTCCAATGCAGCATTCGCAAGTAAGGGCCTGTTCGGTGATTTCCGTTCGTACAGTCCTGTTCATACAAGAAGTGGATATTATACTTTCAATGGTGTAAAACTCTCTTACTTGCCATCTTACTGTATTTGAATAACCTGCTTGATGCTGCTGAACTTTTCTCTTGCCATCTTCTGCATGAACACAGAATGATCACAAGTTCATACTTATTAGTATTATTTTATATCAATTGTCAGTGAAAAATGAATCTTGACAAGTCTCAGATTGATCTGATGTTGCAATATCTTGAATCAAATAATGATCAATCTGTTTCTGCCAGTCAATGGCTGGATGTTACAAACCTACGGCACAACCCTGAGAGCCATTGGACAAGGAACGACTAAATGGTAGAGGGCATGCAAGCTAGACATCGGATAAGGAAAGATCCGGTTAACCAATAGGAACAATAGGTCACGTGACATAGTGGATTGTGTTGGCACTAGTTGCCCAGGCGGCCCTCCACCGCACGTGATTACCCCTATATATAGTTAGCTAGCGATCGCACAATGAGAAGATCAACCATCCCACAGGTTATGGCCCGGATTGCAGATTTTTAAGAAAAACAGACGTTTTGATTAGAATACGCTGCGACTGATGTTATATTGGATGAGTTAAACATTATTCCCCTGAAAAGAGAGCTCTTTGCCTATAAAAGTGGTGTAATTGACGGAATTGCTGTCGAGACTGCTGCAGAGATTTCATTACTATCTTGAAGGGATCAAAAACTTATTTATTTATTTTCATTCAGAACCTCCCTAAGTCAGATTGATTATGAGTGGTTCTCGATTACCTGCGACCCCAATATCAGGACGTAAGAAGACACTACGTTCGCAATCAAGGGTCCCCCAATCCTTCCCCCCTATTACTGAGCAAGAATCCGGCTCAGAAGCGGAGGGGTGATCAAACTGAATACGCGATGGCAGAGGAAGATATGACAACCTCTGGCTCCGTAACGCGATACTGGCAAGATGCCAGAACGCGAGGAATCCGAGG